CCCTGCCCAAGGTGGGACCAGGCTACGAGTGACAGGTTGAGGAGATCCAATGGCCACCAAACTGGTCCACCACGAGACCCTGTCCAAGTTGGGACCAGGCTACGGGCTGAGGAGCTCCAACCACCACCCAACCAGTCCACCATGAGACCCTGCCCAAGGTGGGACCAGGCTACGGGCTGAGGAGCTCCAACTGCCACCCAACCAGTCCACCACAAGACCTTCTCCAAGGTGGGACCAGGCTACTCTTGGTTCCACCACCTCTACACCCATGGGCAAAGCAGCTTCACCCCACCGGCCACCACAACCATGACCACGAGATGCAAGAAGACCAGATCAAGGTTCTAGATCAAGCAACCGAGCTTGCAAGGAAGTCCTACGATGGAGATGGAGGCTCTACGTGGCCCTCAAGAGATGGATGCCGTGGTTTGGCCTTCAAGATGGTGGTTGGAACCACGATGATTGATGGTAAGAGATTGGCCAAGAAGACTTAAGGTGGAAGAGATGCCGCGAGGAGTCGTTGAGCCAAGAGCTGGTGAGAAGGTCCAAGGAAGAGCCGTGAGAAGGACCGGCCAAGAAGGACCTGCAGAAGACTTCTGCAAGAAGTGAGGCACATGATGGGCGCGGTGGCGAGGATGTGACCTGGCAAGGAGATGACCTCAAGGTCCTCAAGCATGAGGAGCAAGGTGAACATCAAGACCTGACAGAAGCAACGGATGGACAGACGCAACGCGGAGTGGACACCACCACCACCACCTTCTGGAGCTGCTTTGCCGCTGGGACAAACTAGTGGCTCTAGGTCAAGGTGAGTCCTCTTGAAGGGCCTTCCCCATGGCACCCCCATGTCCAGACACGTGCTCCCCACCACCGACAACTTCTGCTCCACAACTTAGCTTTGGGGGTGGTGGAGGCCGCTCTCCATCCTCAGCAGAAGCTCCATCATCCAACCGTGACTTCTCGGTGGCCACGTGGCCCTTGGTGACCTGCAGAAACCAAAGCTGGTTGAGATCTGTGTCATCTGGGACAAAGTTGTCCTCCAGAACTTCACGCTGACCTGCTCCGCCCCAGCATGGAGGAGGTGACATTGCAAGCGGAGTCACTCCTGGGAGCTGGAGAACCCAAGGGAGATGTCTACCCAGGAGACCACGTGTTCTACGATACCCATCACGCGTCTTCTCCCACCTCAAAGCTTCAGTTGATGATGAAGGTCCACCTAGAGAAGGTCAAGTCATGGCTGAGATTGCTCCCCGGAGGAGCTGGACTTGGGGCAGGTGAGCAGCCACGGTGGAGGAGCAGGAGAGCATTGAGAAGATGGAGGCCCACCTAGAAAGCCCAAGGAGATGATGCCTCCAACCCCACCAACAACGCCCAAGAAGGAGCCACCACTCCCATTGGGTCTTCATGGCTCACCTTGCCCGACCATGCCCAGGGAGTGGACATCCCACCTTCCACAGAGCTGAGGGTTGGGTTGTCCTCCAGGCACCGCTGGTGGCACCTTGCCTCCACCACATCTCACCAACCCATCTTCTAAAGGTTCTCTATTGGTCTTCTTCTGACTCTTTGTTGTCCATCGCCTCTGCTTGCCATCAAAATATGAAATTAATATTTGGGTGTTGAGGAAGCAGCCTAAAACCCACCCAAAGTGTCCACCGCAAGACTACTTCTGTCCACTGACCTTCTCCACCTGGGCTCTGGGCTCTGCTCCACCAGGCCAAGCCACGCTCGCGTGGGGAAGGCCACCAAAATGAAGAAAACACTCATTAAAAAGT